TCTTTATAGAATCACTGACCTCACTGAAAACCAAAATCAATAGCGAATCAACAACGTGCGAGTTTTCCTGCAGTCTTATGGAGTATCCTGCATAGTGCTACAGAATTGGGCTACCCTGGCGGGAAAGTTGCTTTGTTGGAAGTCGATCCAGGCCTGCAGCTAGTTGAATAGGGCAATAGGTAATAGCAGCAACAGCTCTACACAGCTGTGACTATTTTCGACAGTGCGCCCGCCACCCAGTATCAGGTGAGAGCACGCCCTGATATCAGGTAATAGTACAATTGGTGTGTATAAAGTATTCAAAGAGGCCCATATGGGGCAAAGATAGAGCATTGCCATATACAGCAGGCATGATCCAGGTATCATGTCCTGTATCAAATCTCGCCCTAACCCATGAAGACTCTCATAGTACTGGAGTAGATTGATTCACGGAAGACCAGTTCAGGGTATAGAACGCCCAATTGATGTCTGCATTTTCTGGTAATAGTAAATCGTGTAGATTGAGCACGGATTTGAATATTGGTCTAATTCTAAGTGGAAGTCAATTGCCTGGCGCATTCCACAAAAATTATTAACTCTAAACGACCCATCCCTTCTTTGATCTTCAGCCAATGCATGAGGCTGAATTTTGCCTGCTACAAACTCACGGAAGGCAACAAAGGGTTTGAAGATCGTAAACTTATATGAAAGTCCCTTCCGTCTGAGGGTTGTCAGAGCGCACCACGCTTTTTCCTAATTTATCAAAAAAAAGCAATATCAGTTTAGTGAACAGCTTAGACGCTTAGAGCGAATAGTTCAGTGTAGAGTTTCACTGCTGATTAGAGCATACAGCTCCTATCTAGACATTTGTCTAGATTTTTCCATTAAGTGCGGGAAAATCATGGCGTACCATATCGGGTGAGGAGCTTTGAGTGAACGGCATTTGTGGAAGGTTAATCTGAAAAAACGGAGCTCATTGTGTTCAGAACTTTTCGAGTTCAAGTATAAGAAGCATTTCTCACTATTGTTCTACTTTCACAGAATAACAATTCTTCGAAGCGAACAGTTCGGCAGGGCTCCTCTATTGGCTTTCTATAGAGCGTAGAAATCCATGGAGCTCATGGTGCGTGTATGATCTTTCTCCATGAGGAACCATTCTGAAATTGACAGTTTCGGTTGGAAGAATGTTGAGGATCGATAGTGTCCTCTGTGTTTATCTTCTGGTTGTTCTTCACAACCTCATCTAATTGTAAGAACATGCTCACCAATATTTTCGAAAACTGAGGTCTTCAAAGATTCCTTGAGAACCCATCCTAGTAGCTATAAAAAACAGCGAAAAAATGAGGTTGGTGTCCGATCTGGTGCCGGCGTGATCAAGGCTACCAAGGCATGTCCAACTATATTACGTTTTTTTGAAATTTTTACAGCAGTTGATGCTGAATAATTCGGAAATGACCTGCCGACCTAACAGAATTGACTACTCAGTGGTGATTCTACAAATTTATATTGACAAGGCAAGTAAAAACTGTCATTGATAAACCGTCTAGTGAGCCATCACTTGGGTAGTTTTTGTGTTTTCTCTTAGAAAAGTGCGATAATGAAAACATGCTGGCAATCAGTTTTCTGACAAGGGCGCTCTAAATCGCAAACAAAAGAGAACTGGGAATCAATATTGGTTGCTGAACTGCTGCCTGTTATTGCCTTCCTTATCAAATGGCTTCAACTGGCTCGATTCTAAAACAGGGACTTTCGCTTCTGAAGAAATATCAGGTGAGGTACTTCGAGGGGCTAGCATTTATTTACTTAAACAACTAACTTCGCCCGTGGATTTCTAAGCCTCAGGGCATGTTGATTGAATTATACGTACCTGCCTGTCCGTCCGTAAGTCAATCGATGTGATAAGGGAGCTGATGTCAATGTTTTACTGAGGGTCCTGGGAAATGAGCAAAATGAACGGCTTCGAGCAGGTCTTCAACTCTTACCTGTGTTTTCCTGGGTAATGCTCTTATCGATAACACTATGAAGACCCCCATTTGATCTCCCTCGACTTCCTGGTCATATAATTGCCATAGCTTATTGATTCTCTTGATTTTCCTGACACCCTTACTTATTCATTCCCATTTCAAAACTACCCATGGACGTGGGAAAGTACACAAGCGTACACAACCAAGAATGAAACCCAAATGCTGTTGGCGGAGCAGAATTCTTTAAGTATGTTAATACGATCGAAAGAAAGAAAAACCGACGATATAGATGTCTCTAACGTATGGAAGAACTTTTCATGAATGATAAGGACTATTTGGAACCTGGGCCATCGCGGCCAATATGGAATTGGTGAAGGTGCAGAAAGTTTTGGGAGGACCGGAATTGGGCATTACAATTCAATCATGAAAACATTTTAAGATTCCATCTGGTCTAGACGAATCTTTAGTCGATCATTTCAAAATGAATAGGAGTTTTCCATTTAGTTGATCATTTTCTCCAAGATTTGGCTGCAACACTCCTTCAAATCTAACCCCAAGAGGATGAATCCAGATCACCTATTCTGTTTAATATTAGTAAAATGACTCTTGACTTATACCTTCCGTCGATTATACTTTTCGTAACCTCACCAACCAGCGGTGTACCGTCCTCACGATTTTCTCAGGTCTTTCAAATCCAAGCAGCCTCTTTCTCTAAAACAATACAATGCTATGTATTAGTACTTGCAAGCTTCATGCTCTCTCGATGAAAGTGGTTTTTGTTTTTATGCAGGCTATTTTTCTGCGAGAGTTATGAATGAACAGTTGAATACAACGTTCTGACGTAGGCTTAGGCAGCATGGCGTTGGCTTACAAGCCTTTGTCACAGTGCTCTTTTGAGACCCTCGTAGTCTTAGTTGTGAAAGAGAGTAGGAAAGCTGAGGTTCTCTTTCCGAGAGTAGGAGAGAGGTTCTCTTTCCGAGAGAGGACAGCAGAACTTGAAGAATTCGCTGGACGAAATGCGATCAGTTGATCACCCTTAGCAGAGCTTTTACCCCTAGTAGATAACAGCAAAGTGATTCTATTTTCAGCTTAACTTATTGCAAAGAGGACTTAAGACGTAGTTCAATTCACGGATTACTACTACAATTGGGAAAGAACTTCGGCCCCTGAGGGATGGTATTTGATGTTGCCCGGTGGAATGCCATTGGGAAAAATAACGGAACGGATTTGATTTTTGGTTGTGAAGTCAGTTTTGACTGTTAGGCGAGATAACCAATTTAGGCCTTCGACTAGCTAGTTCCATACCGTTTCTTTCTGGCACCTTCTTTCTTTCTTCGCAAAATTCCGCCTTCTAAGAGATCGAACTCTATTCGTAGTACAAATCTGCAGAAGCAATCGGCCCCTGAAATGTGTCCTCAAGCTTTCATTCAAGCTAGAGCTCTGACTATGAAGTACACTTCCATTTGTCTCAATGTAATCATTCTCCGCTCCTCGCTCTCCCTTCCTCCATCTCCCTCCCTCTCTCTGGTGCTCTTGGCTCACACCTCGCCTTCGCCCACCACATAAACGAATTTATTTCTATCTTTCAGATTTTTCGCAATGCGATGTCTCTGCCAACGATCTCTCGAGAAGATGTGCTCCAATTCGAAACATTCCTTTTCGACGGCGACGGTACCCTGTGGGATAGGGGTATCCCAGTTCCTGGAGCAGTAGATTTTGTTGCCACTCTTCGCAAGGAAGGGAAACGTTTCCTTATCGTGAGTAATAATCCCACCAGGACCATTGGCCAGAATTTGTCGATGATATCGAAAATGGGATTCGAGGGATTCACAGAGAAGAATGTGATCACTCCCGCGATTGTTTTGGCGGCATACCTTCGGGATCGGCCAGTTTATGCTCAGCAGCCTGTATACCTTTTGGGAAATGACAGCATTAAGGAGATCCTGGAAAGCGAAGGCAATGTGCACTGTTTTGGCAACGGACCACAGATAGCTGAGAGTCATTCAGCTGAGAACCCCTTATCCGAGCCGAAGGCTGTAATATCCGCCTGGGAGCCATACCTCAGTCATGCCAAGATCTCGAAAGCGGCACAGTTCCTAGAAAAAGAGGAGGTCGACTTTCTGGTGACAGACGAAGACTACGCGATTCCAGTGCCGAGTCCTGGCACTGAACTTCCTCGCTCTGGTTGCCCTTCCTCTATAATCCAAGCGATTAGCGGTCGTATCCCCACAGTTATCGGCAAGCCACATAAGCCGATGGCTGATTTTCTGATGAACCGGGAGCGGATTGATCCAGCAAAGACCGTAATGTTTGGGGATCGGCTCGAAACGGACATCCAATTCGCTAATGAAAACGGTTTCACGAGTTGTCTGGTGCTGACCGGTGTGCACTCTCTGGAGGATGTACGCAAAGCGGAACAACGTGGCCACAAAAACCTCGTCCCACACCATGTCTTTAAATTTTCTTAGCTATTTATGGCCAGATTTACCTCTCGACTACTGTATATTTGTTGTAATATGATCTTTCTCTCATATTGAAAACGTCTTTCTTATGGTAACTTTCTGTACTACTTTTTTTCGAAAGTTTAACAACTGCTCTGTGTAGGCATAGAATAGGCTCAATTTCACGTGAAAGTGCAAGGTTGTCGCATGTTGTCATTGGAGAAATTTCCGAGAAATGTCTTTCAGAACTGCGGCATCTTGAAATAACTATTTTGTGAAGGCGGAGTTGGCAAGCTCATTACTATGGTCTTTGGGGTCGCTAATTCACCAATTAAAAGATCTCCAAGGCAATGTCAACTCCGCCCTTTTGCTCGCCTCCGCTCACCGTTCTACTTGTTTTAATAATAACTGCTCTAACTTCGCTTCCTCGTTTGTAGGTAATGTTGTAAAAGTTCTCATGTGTACACCATTCTCAGACTGTTCATCTTTTTCTCGAGGGTATAAAAACCTTTGACCTACGCTTGTACTTGTAGTTTTCGAAGTATATCTTCGAAGTTTCGAAGTTCCTGTTACTTTTGGGGGCCACTTTGTACTCCTAGAGGGAACACTCTGAAACTATTTTTATCGTGAACTGTGCCTTTAACAACTTTATGCAGCTGCCTTTACAATCCTTCAGTCAGAAACTGTCCCCACGCTCCCTCCCCCACACCTCCCACACACAAAAATTGGTAAAAACAGTCCAACTCCTAGTCGATGGCCGCATACTAAAAGCACGTTGTGTATGCTGTTCCTTCACACCAAAGACACCGAACTTGACGGCGGCACCTGGTTGAGTTGCCAGCTGTTTTCCTTCTAGTACGTTTGCAATAATTTTGGTGTCTAGGCGCTCTTATTCATTGTTTTATCTTATCAAGGGCTTCGTAGAGATAGTCGCGACTCTTCCAGGATTCGACGATTATCGTGATTCGAAAAATAGACGAACTGAAGCAAGACCAGTGTCTTTATGAAACTATTTAGCTCCCGAAGATTCGATTTCTCCGGTCCCCGTACTCTTTTTTTCTGATGCGTTTGGGAATCTTCTGGTAAAAGTTTTTTGAATTTGCAATATTTATTTCAAAAATCCCGAACCTTCTAAACATAACGCAAATAAGCTGTCAGTGTTTGTTGGATTCTTTCTGCGGATGACGGTTCAATAACAGCCTTCTGTCATCCGTCTCCAACGTTTGGTTCCCGTGGTCTTAAGAAATATTCCCTTATGCGTTACTGCTCTTTCTGAATGGTCCTGGTACCTAAATTAGCCAATATTTATAATTTCGTGAAATTTGCTGTAATTTACTAACGATGAGTCTCTCTAGAGGTTCATGAACGATAGAAATGGAGTTGCTTCCATTTATAAACTCGTTTTAAGATGCGCCTCGCATGCCACTTCTATTCGTGATCGCAGTGAAGTTTGAATGGGTATGTCAGTGACTGCAATGAATGGCGAAGACCAACTGATGTACGAGACAGTCAGGGCAATTATACTCCCACACGGTGGATCTAGTACCAGCTTACAGATGTCAAAGATAGAATACTTCGTTTATACCGACGGGTGCCGATCCGAGAATAGGCCGATGAGACATGCGCATAGCAAACATCACAGAGGTACCACTTATGACTGCTTAACCTTATCCTGAAATGGGGTAAAGAAACAGTGGTCATAATAAAACAGCTATATTCTGTGTAGTAAATCTTATATGTGCCCGTGGTGAACCGTCTGTTGGGAAATGCCTCGAGAATCGAGATGAAGCTCGAGGCTTTCCAGGGGTAGTACTGGGAGGCAGAGAAACGTAGTTCGTTGGGGAGGCTTTTTCATTAGAAAGTACTTGACTTCGTCCTTAATATCCACAGATGGTTGTCCTCGTGGTGCTATCTGTTCTGCTTGTCCTTCATTACCGTCGATTTCATGGTTTTTTAACTTCCTATTTCCTTATAATGAAGTGGACTTGTTTAGTAACTCCATGCCTCCAACAGCTCTATCACGGGATGAAATGCTCAAGTTTGAAACGTACCTATTTGATGCTGATGGCACTCTATGGGAGGAGCATGGACCGATGCCAGGAGCTGTGGATTTTGTTTCGGCTCTTCAAATCGCTGGAAAGCGGCTATTTCTTGTGAGTAATAATCCAAACCGGTCAATGGATCAGTACCTAGACCGAGTAAGAAGAATGGGATTCAAAGGTTTTACAAAGGAAAATGTCATAAATCCTGGTATCGTTATGGGTACGTATTTCCGTGATAGGCCCGATTACGCTGGGCAGCCGGTGTACCTTTTAGGTAATGAGAATGTTAAAAATACATTGGAAAGCATAGGTAATGTACGTTGTTTTGGAACTGGGCCGGAAGTTCTTGAAGAAGACCATCCAACAGAGGGCCGCCTAATGGTTCCAAAGGCTGTTGTGTCGAGCCTTGAACCATATCTCAGTTACTGGAAGGTCATGAAGGCAGTAAACTATTTGAAGCGAAGTGAAGTCGAATTTCTGGTGACAGATGAGGATTATGCGCTCCCTATGCTTGCCCCAGACGAACTTCCTAGTTCAGGCTTTCCGTCGCGAATTATACAGGCAATTTCTCGTCGTACTCCGAAAGTCTTCGGAAAACCCCACAAGTTCATGGCCGATTTTTTGAAGAAAAAAGGGTACATCGATCCGGCGAGGACCATAATGATTGGCGATCGTCTCGACACGGATATCCAATTCGCGAACGAGAACGGCTTCACAAGTTGCTTGGTGCTGACCGGAGTTAGTTCCCTGGAAGATGTGAAGAATGCAGAGCGACGTGGGGATGAACACCTCCTCCCAAAACACGTCTTTTCTTTCACTTCCTCGTGATTGTTATGTTGAACAATTTTGTAGCAGCATTATAGTTGTAATTGAATTTAGTCTATTGGATCTGATATCTTTACAAAGCTATAAAATGCGGGTACTATTTCTATTGAGTTCCTTGTTTTGGTAATCCAAGTGAACTAGGAGGGTAACCCTTTCAATACCCAGAGGTATATGTTGAAATTTCCGGCAAAGAAAAGCCTTATATTACGATAACCCTGTGCCATCCTTGATCAAAATCACCCAAAGATAGTACCCGTGCCGTGGGCAAGACACCCGACATACTCGCAATGGCAAACAGATCCCCCTCCCCCCCCCNTTTTTTTTTCTGGAAGACTTTTTGGAATATTGATTTGCTATGAGTTTCGTGCATAATAGTTTTAGACTGGTGAATAAATGCATAAAATGTAAATTGATTGCATGAAGTAAACAATGTAAATAAACAAAATAGTGAGTAGAGTAAACTGATACTACTTATTCTGGAAGGGGAAGGAGCGTAGCTGAAGTTCTTCAACTACTCGCAACATAGGTTCTCACGAACTTTTGCTACCTCATAGGTTGGAAAATCAGGAATTTTTGCTTGGGTATGAGCGGATGAACTGGAAATTCGCCCATTTCTAGATGCCCAAATGAGTATAGGTAGTATTAGTATGAGTATAAAGTTCGCAGTTTGCGCTTAGGTGGGAATAGGAGTATTCCTGATGCTTTCTAACATCTTGAGCTGTAAGGCAGCAAAAGGTAAGTCTTTCAATATGTATTTCTTTCTAAATGGGTGGCCTATGTTGACACGGCGGAATCCGAAGGAAGATAGGCCTGTGTTATGCAAGACCGAAGAGTTGTTGTGCCCTTCGGAGTGGGCGGGATGTCTGGGTTATCGAACGTCTTTGTTTTTGTTGAAAAATTTAATCTTGCTTCACCAAGCTCATCATCACTTCTTCCTTCTGACTGACATCATCTGAATGCCATTTTAATAACTTAAAATTAGGAATTTACTTTATGAATTTAAAAACAAATTGAATTGTAAAATTACTGTTTTGGGTGTATTAGCGTAGAACTTTTGTCTGAACTAGGTGAAGCCGGTTCAATTCGTCAGCTGTGGAAATTGAAACACTGGTATTTTAAAGCATGACAAGCAACGAAAGGCTTTGATATTGAGCTACTCATCTCCGGTGGTCATCGTAGGTAATCTAAATTACCTGAGTTCTTGAAGGAATAAGGTCGTTTTG